TAAAGCAAGAAAATGACAATTATTTTATATTCCTCATTGATTTTATCAGAGTCTAAATCTGCCGAAATTATTAAAAAAAACTATTTAACCGGATACTTATCCTAATTAAGAGGCAAAAACAGAAACATTGTCACGAGCCATTACTACTCATTCGGTTGTCTGTCGGTAGAGCATCAATCGGCCGTAGCACTAAACCAGCCGTTCATCTGCGACGCCGCTTCAAAGTGTTGTGATGCCGCTTGATTACTTACAATACTAATTCTTTTAATGAAAGAAATATGACTAATAATATTACTTATTTTTATATTCGTAATATATTTATAGAATTTTAAATAACTATTTTCTACGTACCACTGGTAATATAAACTTGCCATGACAGAAAAAAAAAACCAAGTATAACTATATGTTCTAATTAATTATACTATACATTATATATTAATTTGTTTAATAATGTATTTTTTGTAGTTTAACTTTAATGATAGAGTCCTATGGGAAGCCAATACCTTGGCACTCTACTGCTAATGCATTGTACTATGAATAAATGAGTAATGTAATATGAAAATAGTATCCTCGTTAATACCTAACGTATGCATATCTAATAAAACATGTGTATTGAGACGGAAAGACGGAGCGTTCATCAACTGCCACAATAAACTAAAACTACCACCTGTGACAGTGACACAATGTTAAAGTGACTTTTAAGAGTGACTAAAATGTCATGCGCATTTGAAGTAATCCTGTATTGCACACATTATATTTGTTACGTTTTTTGCTATTATATACATGAAAAATACATTAAATAATATGTATTTTATGTATATAGCAGCCAAACATCCCAATAAATGGTAATAATGCTATATATTATATGCGCTTCTATGCTATTATGGGATGCCATAAATATTTTTTATTTTTTATATAAAGTAAGTACGCCTCGGACCAGTATATTAAATGGTAGTATGTATATATGTACATACATGTATGTATGTGTTACTTTACACCTGTGCGAAAACAAGAATTACTAAAATATTTTTCGATAGTTTATTATCCGCGTTAGGAATCGGGTAAATATGTATCTTATTCTTTTATAAACATAGTCAAAACTAATATAACAGTAGCATTGCCCGCGGCTCCGTCCGCGTTCAGATGACCAAATACCAAATTCTTAAGTTTTACATATTAGTAGGTATATTCTTACATTGCAGTTTCTTCATTTTTTTTCAGAAATGAGACATCTTCCCGTGGTAAAAAGTATCCTATATTTTGCCCCGGATAACCAGCTACCATCGTGCCAAATTTCATCAAAATCCCTCCAGTGGTTTTTTCGTGATGCGGTAACAGACAGACAGACAAAAATTCAAAAAACTATAGATTTGGCCTCTGTATCGATAATAATGTCTATTTCAATAAAATTTTCCAAAAAATATTTAATGTACAGATTCGACTTAGTCACAATTTTATTATAATAATGTATAGACTAGTGACCCACCCTCGCTTCGTTCTGATTCGTCCCTAGTTACATTTTAGCGTTTAGTATATATTTCTCAGAGATGAGATATTTTCCCACAGTTAAAAGTATCCTACACGTTGACCCGGATAACCAGTTATGATCATACAACATTACATCAAAATCTGTCCAGTGGTTTTCTCGTGATGCGTTTCCAGATAGACAGACAGTCAAAAATTCTAAAAACTATATTTTCGGCCTCTGTATCGACAATAATGACTATTTTGATAAGGTTTTCAAAAAATATTTAATGTACAGATTCGACTCAGAATTTTATTATAAGAGACGTGAGATGATTGAAAATCGATTAATTGAAACATTATATAATTTAATACATTAAAAAATATGATTAAATTGTTGTAAATATTTATTAAATCGCTAGTCTTTGGTATAAGTACAAGTTAAGATAATAATGAGGATAACAAAAATATGACTATGAGCAGTTAATAAGACGTATGTCGAGACAGCGTCAATCGGCCATGGAGATAAACCAACCGTTCAGCTGAGACGCCGCTTTGTAACTGTTTTGATAATGCCGCTTGATAAAATAATGCTAAATATTATCTATAGTCTATAGGTTACAGTGTGATTAAATACCATGAATAATTTTTTTCCTAACTTACGCTCAGGTAATTTTAAAACAGAGTCTGTAAGGTTATAGTGCTTATCAATTATGCCTTGAGCTTATCTGTTTTTAGATCATTTTATATAATAAAAAAAAGAAATATTGTATGGTCCAATCGAGTGACTTAATACTAAAAACTTGTATTATGGAATTAACAAGTACTTAGGTATATAGCAAACTATCGGCTGACTCTCGCTTGGGTGCATTCCTTAATGCCTAGCAATAGTCTTAATGCTTAGCAACTGCCTATTCACCAGATCAATCTCTATATGTGTACTAAATTTTATCCAAAACCGTCCAGCCGTTTCAGCGTGAACGAATAACATACTTACACACGCGCACAAATAAAAACTTTTGCATATATAATAGTAGTGCGGTAGCATAATTTTTTTACTATTTAGTACAGATGTACCTACTTAACATATTTTCATATGGCACAGCGTAAAAAAAGCTATATATCTACATGTAGAGTATAAAATAATAACCGTGATGAAAAAATACATAATTCTAATCAATATTTTAATTATCTCTTAATAATTATTTTTAATAATATTTGATAAAGATAAAAAATACTAGCATGTTCAATATTATATATAATAAATAGGTCTTCAATTCAGATAACTAAATATACATTACAATATTAACATTTAAAACAAAACAAACAGACTTACAAAACACTGAGACTAACAATTAAAAATCCCCACTTCCAATCATAGGTTTGCAACAAACTTCACGGACTTCTGAATAACGATATTCATTTAGAAAAAAACACTTTAACAAACGTTGAAAAAACGCTGCTATGAATAACAAGTAAAGAATTACAGTCATTAATATCGGTGCGATCATTCATATGCATGCGATCTTTTTGTACGCTGTTATTAGGTACTACTTATTACATTATGATTAGAGAACTGATATTTTACACCTATTATTATACCTGATCCATCAACTAATGTTTTGATACTTATTAATAATGAAAAAACATTGATGTGCATATTAAATAACCAATTTTGATACTTACTTACATATCTCTTCAATGTTAAGGCCCATCAGGTCTTAATATTATTCATTATAGATATTAGATACCTACCTATATTACTTATATTATTAATACGTAAAGGTGTTTGTCCGTTGCTTACTTTATTTACCTGATCGATGTTTTGGTGTAGAGATATACATACATATTCAGTGTTAATATTTAATACGTACTATTTATTCTTTTACGTGTCCTTGGATATAATATAAACTTATTAAAAAGCTAGTTATTTTGTAAGTAATAATCCATATGTAACTTTGGTTTAAGTCTAAGATTCTGAATTATTCAACTGTTAAATCGCTATCCGCGTTTCTTCCATCCACAAAAACCCAATGAATCACACGTAAGTTCTGTTTCGCCACGCTTTTTTCGCCACACTAGAACGTGGCTAAAGCTTCACTAAATAGCTTTTTCTTCACCGTATCATTTCTTGTGTGGTTCGTGGCAGGATATTCAATTTATTGCCGTTGAGGTATAAATGTATGGTTAATTATCAATTCTATTTTATCAATCTTGCTCAGGTGTACCCTTACTTTTTTTAAAGAGTTTATAAGGTTATAAACACATAGCGCTGGCTTTCTTTTAATTAAAATGTTAAAATAATATTTTTTTTAAGTTTTATAGTATTTTTTTTGTATATATAAAACGCCGACTAATGCTTGTACGTTATTTACATAAATAATAAATCATGAAGTTTTCATTAGTGCACTCTATAATTCTATCTAACCATCAATAACTCGGAGTCTCTTACCGAACAAATATATAGATTAAACAGATTAACTGTCAACTTAGTATACTGCATAAAATGCAGTTACATTCATTCACATACAATAAAATAACACTTTATAAACCTACTTCGTGCGTATCGATCGCTACAAGGCCATTGAGTCATCGACAAAACATTACCAAGTAACGAGATACAGAATTACTATTGATTGCTTCTACTTTTCGTCACTTCACAGCCCTACTCTATACTTATCGATGTAAAATATAAAAACTGTAATCTTACAACGAAAAAAATACAAATATAATTAAAGAGAAAAATCCATTACCCGATAGAAGAGTAAATAATTTAAACTAAACATATTGGCAAAAAAATATAGCCTATATCACCCGGAAACGATAACGAATTGATTGATATCTCATTTATCGAAATTGAATGAGCGTACATAGACTGCGTGGAGGTGGAACATACGTGAAAACGAGTCGATACAAACAAACATTTTTTATGGGGTTCAGTGAAAAAAGAACAGACAGACCACCTGATGCAAAGAAGTACCTGTCGTCCATAAGACTTACGGTTCATGCACTTAGGTTTTATGTAACAAAAATGCAGAACCGCAGGTGCGTTGTCACTGTGAGGACTAAGATGATATGCCTCTTGCTTGTAATTGCGCTGGCTACCTTATCCTTCAAACCGGAACACAACAATGTGATCATTGTTGCTTGGCGGGAACATACATAGACTGCTTAAAATATAGCCCTTCCTTTTGGTTTTAATGTAGTTGGGTAAAACAACAAACATATTTCTGTCCTTAGTAAGATTTAGAGTACAATGTGCTATAGATAAGGACTCCTTACCTATAGGACATTGTACTTTAAACTTCTGAATATCTCTATCAATTTCAAATACTATGCTTATAGAAAGAAGTGTTGAAATGAAGTAATTAGATTTATACGTGCAAGGGTACCCGGGTCAGATGTTCGACTCGCACAAACACTCAAGTACGTGATGTTATTGAGAAATTAATTAAGTACGACGATCGTGACAAGTTAAAAAGAGAAGGCTGGAGGGAAATCAATAAGGTAATCATGACGGGCGGGCGAAATCGAGAATGCCTGGTATGTGACTTGTACAGAAAGGTGGCAGTACATTCCAATTCCAGTCCTTTTTCAAAAAAACTATATGAATCTGATATATTTATCATGTTATAAAATAGTGATGGCATATTTGTATTATAAAAAGGTATATACCACAGTAATCATACATTATCTAACGCGAAATATTATCTTTTAAATTAAAAAAATATATATTTATTTAAATAATTTTCAATGTCATGTTTATTACTTTTTTATATGTTTAACTTAACCCGATTAAAATTAATTCAAGTGCAAAACTAAAGTAACTTTTTTGATAATTGCCTCCTTTACAAAAGACCTCATTCGAAAAGAAGGACGATGGTCAATTTTTATTAATGACTTGTTTTCATAACAGCTATTATTTTGAATACAAAAAACGAAACTGATTTATAAATCTTTTCCGATTATTATTTAGATATTAATTGAAGGTTTGATATTAAGCGAATTCCACTAAATATTTCCTCCGATTAATATAACATTAGAACATTTCATATACAAAAATCACATCAGCTGCGATCAAACGTTAACAATGTGCCATGACTGATTGAGTATTTTTTGCGACCAAGTTGTGCTTCGTGGCCACTGAATATATAGCGCGATATAATGCTTCCATTTAGGAGACGGACCTTGTTTAAAAATGGAAATAAATTTTTAAAATAACATATTTATTTACATATTTAAATTATATATTTTTAATTTTATATTTGAATATAATTTTTCTAGGTTTATAGTGATACATAAAAAATATATCAAACCATCTCTAGCACCAGATGTAGAGCACACTTTAAGGTCGTATTTTGACTTAGCTCTTTTTTAGTACTTTAGGTGTTTTATTCAGTCCTAATTGAGCTCCGAATTCGCTAAGGATGCGATTAGCCCGTGATTAATAAAACCGATTTAGCTTTGCCGATTGCTTAGGACCGATTTTAAATAAATTGTTCTCTTTATTTCGACATTTATAAAATTGGATGTGATTTCCAACGAATGGAATTGCAACGTAATTAATGATTAGATTTGTTTTTTTTTTTATTTGCAACATCTTTTATATCACTGAAATGTTTGGGTACCTGCGATAAAGGATAATGATTTGTGTTAGTCATATTATGTCTATCTGCAATTATAATATGAATATAAATGAACATAATGGCCACTCAATATATTTTTTTATAAATGTATAGATTTTGAATTCGACAATGAATTGAGAATTGAATTCAAAGGATTCATATAAAAATTTATTAAAGTTTTTAACTTTTTTGTTTTTATATAGTGTTGTAATAAAATAATTTGCAATATTTTAAAGTAGTAATAAATATAATATGAACTTTAAAAATTCCTCGTGAATGTGGTTCAAGTAATTGTATGCTACGATTTTAAAGAGAATTCCGATTGTCTGACAGTGCATAGGCAGTTAGACTTAACGACACCATGTTGGACGTAAATGTTATTTTATTATTTTATTAATATCTGTGGTTCACCGCGGCCTAAGTGATCTCACGAAATAAGAACTTCATGGTGGTTGTAATACGTATTCAGCTTTTTTAATTCTTACTGCTTATTAAATTGTGTAGCACAGATTATAAATCATATTAAAAAGAAAGGAAAATATTGGCTCTAACTAAAAAATCTATTAGTACATAAAATCGTACATATTAATTACAATCTAGGATATAAATAAAAATTATAATACTTATTCATATTTGTTATTATTCTAAGCAATCGACAACGAAATATTGTGCATTCCTATTGCATTCAGTATGAAACGCCGTAAACATAAACATTAACAAGTTAATTACAAAAAACAATTACACCAATAACACGATTTCAGTGCATAGCGAAATTACGTAGATAACGATAGAAATAGGACAGCTTGCGATAAGTTACTTATTGTTTGGTAGTTCATTTCCGTTGCAGTACCTACGAGTACCTACATATGTACATACGTTGCAACGTGCTTTACACCCGCTATTCTAAACTTAGATAATAACCAAAATAATTATTCCAATGGCATTTTTCAACAATGTAACTGATTGCTTTCTTTCTAAAGATCTGACGAAGAGCCCGTATATTATTGTTAGCTCGTTAAAATGCAACGAGTCCTGGTGTTTTTATTATACGTTTTTACGACGGAAGAGTTACATTTTAGCGCTGCGGGCACTTTATTACAGTGCCATAGACTCAAATAATGTTTTAGTATCTGATAACGAGTTAGAACGTTTCTTCTACACACATACGTACTTTCATACAATATAGACATAAAACCTACTTTTTTACTATCGTTTTATTATAGGTACTTTTAATTAAACTAATTCTAGGCGTTTAATTTAATTAATATTACACTTTACATAGAATTACAGTATTACTGTATTTAATGAAAGTGTAAATGAGTTATGAAAATTAAACATAGCATTTTCTTTGTTTCAGATGGTCAGTCAAATCACCTAAACCTCTTTAATTCGCGGCCGCAACCGAAAAAGAAACGAAAATCAAGAACAGCATTCACAAATCATCAAATCTTTGAACTTGAGAAACGATTTCTTTATCAGAAGTACCTGTCTCCAGCGGATAGAGACGAGATAGCGAGCTCTCTTGGACTGTCTAACGCTCAGGTCATCACATGGTTCCAAAATAGGCGAGCAAAACTCAAGCGAGATATGGAGGAACTAAAAAAAGATGTCGAAAGTGCTAAAGTACTATCCGCCCATAAAAGCTTCCTTGAAAACGTCACAGATTTGGGAATTCTAAAGAAAAAAGCTATGAGCATAGGCGCGAGTGAGGAAGCTGCGACAAATCTCGTAGTGAATGCGTCGAAATGAAACGAGATGGCGCGTTCTATCGCGCCAGATGCCTACGATCGACGACTACTCGATTATTAATCGGCATCATCGATACAATCGATACAGACTTTAATCGACAATGTGTTTAAATGGACCTAGTGACGTTACTCTATTTCCACTAATCTAGCTAATGTACTTCACTATTTAATACTGTAAATAGATTAGTTCGATTGTACAAAGCTTCGTTCGAATAAATGTGATAGTTTCTATTTAAGTACTTAATATTTTATAGAATATATTCCTAAATTATTTATTGTGGGTTATATCGACTGGCATTTAGAAAAGCAATATTTAAAAGTGTACGAAGTTTACCAATAAAATGTTATTATAAAATTCTGTCAGTGTGCAATATAAAGAAATAGTAACTTTATTACCCATTCGCCAGTGATGATACCTAGGTGTAAATATTATTTCATGTATAGTTATTGATATTAATGTTATTTTGTAGTTTTTAGTAAATGAATACAGATTTATTAGAGCGTAGAGCGGCTAATATAAAAGTAATTTTAAATAGCGAACCGTTACTGATTGTATTAGTTTGCTTAGTTAAATTAAACAATCTACCGCCATTGTTCCAATACTTATGTACTTATTCTTATTTACTTCGCAAATGTATATTCATTTTATAGTGCTTGATTATATGTATAAAAAGAGCTACATCGTTTTGTGTCATATTACTTATATACAAATATATTTACTTAGGATTTTAAATAATAAAATACGTCTACTTATTAAACATGGCTGATACAGCACTTTTTTAATTTAACCACGTAAATGAAAAAACAAACAACACTTTAAATTATTAGTATAACCTTATATAATACAATCAGTTAACAGCTCAGTCACGCAAAAGTTATACAAACATATAATATTATAACTGGTCACGATATACGGAATAGTGAGTTTTATGAAGAAAATTTGAATACTCTATCATAAATCAACACGCGAAGATTGGTATAGTATATATGTACCTATATTATCATGAGAAGTATACATTTTTCTATTCATAATAATTGACATTACTTTTTAACTAAAAAGAAGTACTTCGGTCTAATCATTTAAAAATAATCATACCTCATAGGTAGATTTTTAATGATTTTTTTTAAATCTACTCACAATTGGCGATGATTGAAACATTAAACTGAATTTAGTACATCTCCTCCTTCTCTTTCTTAATGTCAGTCAAAAATAAATATTATTATTTCTAAATAAATGATATTGGTATGTTGTAATTATGTATAATAAAACTTTTTAATAAATAAAAATTCCTCATTATGTTGCGTCAAAGAAAAAAACGATTTGCATATTTTTTAAACAAATATTTAAAAGAATATAATATGAGTTCAAGCAATGTTGACACTAATGTTTCCTAGGATTTTTAATAACATTCGATAACCACAAGAATTCGTAACATAATTCTTTTTATTAGCTACATATTTATTTATTTTAAAAATATCGAAATTCGTTCTAGCCTTCTAATGTCATTAAAGTCTAAAATCTTAGCACTAAAAATGGATGTTAATGGATAGATTTGGGCGGTAGATTGTACCATATAAATTGATTTGACTAAGTTACTTAAATGTTATTTACTGATTACCATGTTTATTGACAAGATTCTCTTTTTTAACTTTTATTACTTGGATTAACAACGGGCTATTTTGTAAATATTTATTGTATATATGGGCTGTTTTACCATTTAAAAATATTGCTTTTTATATATTATAGGTACAAAACTTTTATATTTTCTTAGTAGGTAATAGATAAAAATTTACAATAAAGTGTATGTAAACGAGACTAAATTTTTAGTAAAAATATTAAAACATTAAAACCATTTCCATCCTAAATTTTCAAAATAATTTGAAAGAGTAACTTTGAATTATTTTATAATTTTTTGAAATGGCAAAACAGGCTATATATAAAAGTTATCTTGTTCCTACTATAGATACTTAATGTTAAAGAGTAACACAATAGCCGCACAATATGTGTGCTTTTGCAAACTAAGTATGTGAATATTACTTTATGTAAATAAATAATAAATTTATGTGTTCTAATATTTGTTTGTTTTATACCCTTGAATAATCCTTAATATATATTAATGTTAAATTAATCAAAAATCTATTAAAATAAATAACTTAAAATTATAAATGTTGTTATATAATATTGTATGAGTCAATAAAACCATATAATATATTCTTTAAACATAATTAAGTATAATTATTAATTATTTTAGATAAAATCAAAACAAGAACAGTATCTATTATATCTATGACTATTTAAGATGTGGCAAATTCACAAACATTTATTATTTTTGGCAAAAAAACAAAATTGGCTTTTAAAAAGGTGTTTTTTATAATTTCAACTTACAACATTGGTTTTTTTTTGTCTCTCCCGTGACCATGATTACTGTAAAGCATTCGAAACGTCGGGAATCAAAAATCTAAATAAATTCGCGAAAAAATCCGATAAGATAGATTTATTTAAAATTGGTTTAATTTGTCATAATAATAAACTCTTTATTGTACACCAAGAATAAAAGAAAAATAAATAATCACAGAGTAGAAATGTACAAGAGGCGGCCTTATCGCTAAAACAGCGATCTCTTCCAGGCAACCTTTAGGTGTAGGAGATAGCAAACTGCAAGAGGGAAGGGGTGTAAATAATAGAGTAAATATGTATATCACAATATATAAAAAAAAAGTTGACTAGTAAAATGCATAAGTATATATGTTTATACTAATAGATACATATACATATACTTACACAGATACACATACCTATATATAATAAAATATAATAAAAAAAAAAACAAAACAAAAGGCAAGGCAAGACAGCTTACAAAGAAAGATAAGTTAAAAAAATAACAATTATAATACTCGTATGTAAAGTGTATGTAAAGTCAAAAACTAAGAAAGTATTCTTTTAGCAGTTTTTTAAATATCGTTAGTGACTTCGCACGTCTGATATTAAGGGGAACAGAGTTCCAAAGACGTGGGGCTGTTACAGTGAATGAATTGCTATAGAAGGAAGAGGAGTTAGAAGGGATTTTAAGGATAGGTTTATATATCAGAGCGAAGACAGCGAGAATGTGAATTGCCAAGAAATTGGAAACGCTCCTTTAGGTAGGGTGGGGTACAGGGATCGAACAGAATACAGTACAGAAGACTGTCATAGTAATTACTTTAATTATAAATGTATAGCTAAATGAACCTGGATGCAAAGTATGCAGTTGTTTTCCATTCCAAGCTATAACAGTACCTACATGTATAGTCAGAGCCCGATTTACAGAGTGAAAATTCTAAAGACTAGTTTCGGCCTCTGTATCGATAATAATAGTCATTATTGAAATAAGATTTTCCAGAACCCTGTATCAAACGCATTAAAAATCACACATTAGATTACCACTTGTCTCACGGTGAAGAAAAACATTGTGAGGAAATATGCCTCTCTGTGAGACCTTAAGAAGTTTTTAAAAGACATGTGAAACCTGCCAACCTCCACTTGGTCAGCGGGTGGGACTATGATTCCCTCTCGTATTGAAGAGAAGCCCGTGCCCAGCAGTGGGACGTTAAAAAGCACTGAATATAAATTTAAAGCTTGGGTTTGCAAATTTATTAACGACAATGCTTCGCTCGGGTTCGACTCTAGAAAAAACAAATCTATCCCTCGGGAACCGCTTATTTTTCCGGGATAAAAAGTAATCTATGTGCTATTCCAGACTATAATCTATCTTTGTGCCAAATTTCATCCAGATCCGTTCAGGGATTCTGGTGTGAAAGAGTAACAAACATCCATACATCCTACTCACAAACTTTCACATTTATAATTTCACTGAGAGAAACTAGCAAACTTATCTTTGTAATAAGCATTGCTTATTTACATATTCATTAAAATAACCAAACTTATTGAAACTAGACGAGAAACCTTTTTCCAAGAATAAATTATTTACTCCATTGCTTCATTTTCTATCCGTACACTTTCAAACCAGTTCAATCCAATTCTATCCTTATCACGCATTTCTTTATTATTGCATTACAGAATTTATAGTCACAATTTACCATTAAATAGTTCTTCTAAGAGGAACTAAAAAAGGAGAGCTCTGGCGAGATCGCTACTGCTACAAACCTCCCGACGGTTGTCATATGAGGTTTAAGTTATATTAGTTTTTTACTTCTGCAGTTTAGGTTTACTTCTGTATGTTATTTTTTTTATTCCTTCACGCTGAAACTGCTGGATGAATTTTGATAAAATTCAGTACACAAAGAGAATATGACCTGAAGTGACACATAAAATACTTGTTGGCATCTACGAACACACACAAGCAAAGAAAACTCCTTGTCCATTCATAATAATTAAAAATTTTAATAATAACTTGATAACATTGATAATTGCAACATAATTTGCATTATCTCCAAATCGAGGCTATCGATTTCGCATTTTTATATATTACGTATTTTTATATATTTATATATAAAAATGAAAAAAATAATAAACATGCCCTAATTAACAGTACATATATCAATAGCCTAGAAGTCAGGAGACTAGACTTCGAAAAAAACCGCTAGTTAGCAAAATCAAAGCTGCGATATGTGACAAAATATATCGATGGTGCACGGAAACTTATTTATTATGTACTAGCGGCTCACCCTCGCTTCGCTCGGGTTCACCTCTAGGAAAGCACAAACAGATCTATCCCACGGGAACCATTCATTTTTCCGGGATAAAAATAAGTAACCTGTTGTTCGACCTGCAATATAAGGTATCAGCATGCCAAATTTTACTAAATTAGGTGCATAAGTTGTTGTGTACTGAGCTGTATAAGTTACTATAATTTTTTAACTATCCCACGGGAACTCTTTAATTTTCCGGAATGAAAAGTATCAAATTTCATTTAAATAGGTTCAATAGTATCGGAGATTAGCCCCTACGAACAGACAAAGAAACAAAAAATTTGAAAAAATCTGGATTTGTTCTATTTC